TCTTTAATACGACACGACGTAGCCTCAACAACATAGGTAAGTGACCCATGACACACAAGAGAAAAATCCTAGACAAGGACAAATTGTCAAAAAAGAATGTATGCCTTATAGGTACATAAATTTCAGCAATCCACTCAATAAAACAATACAAAACAATCAAAGCCATGATTGCGATATCAATCCAAATGGAATACCATTGAAAGGTAAATTATTCACATATACGCCTGTAGCGAAGACAGGCAGTTGTATTGATTTTTCAGTCGACCTTCAGACGGCCCGACTACGCTTTTAAAACTTGAAGAATCCTAATTGAGGTTATGTTGGCAACTGTCAAGTTTTGTGAACAGTACGCTGTTTGGTAGGATACTTACTTACATTTGGGGGAATTTGAAATGGATCGTTCGATATTTAAATGGATTTGAAAAAAAATTGCTGTTTTTTATAGCGATAACGCCATTTTTTTTTCATTGGCCGGTTTTTAGATTTAGACATCTATTTTGTCTTTGTCTTGCGGAATCAAATACCTTCGATGATACATTGATTTGAAATAACGTGTGACGTCGTGATATAGTACGATGTAATAATAGGTTATATATAGCTATATTTTTTTTAAATCATAGTTCAGATTCCAGCCATAGTTAGTATGATTTGAAATCTAATAATAAAAATTCAAATAACACTTGCGCAGTGATCACTCATCCTTCGGGGAAACCATTTATATTTTTTGCTCGTTTTTTGTAAAGCTACCAGTGTAAGATCTAAAGGTCAAATTAGAATACTAAAATGAACAAAAAATACTTAAAAAAACATAACATATTAATATAAATTACTTAAACTACCTGAATCTGAATATTCAAAATAAAACCTAGTTCCAAGCAGACATCTAAATGCATAGAGAATACAAGAAATCTAACGTAACGAAATTTATTTGAAAGGTTCTAGAATGTTCCAGAATTGTAATTTCAATTTCGAATAATTCCAATTTCAAATCTTAGTAAATTCAATTGGTTTTAATATTGCCTACTCATCATTTGGCGTTTTTATGACGTTTGTAATGTTGCATTATTGAATTAAATTGATTGTGTGAGACAACTAGTACCATAGTATTTATCAATAGAAATTCATGAATAGAAAATAAAAATAAAACTTTCTTTTAATGCTACTGTACCGACAGAAGCTAAGGAAATTAATGACTTTAGGAGCGCTTCCACACATTGACGATCCGAATCCGATCCGAACCAACAAAAATATGGTCCTTAGTACCTGTAGAACTGTTTCTATCTTAGATTTCGAACTGTAACCACAAACCGTCTTATTTTTTTCAAGGAACTTAATCTATACCTGTATTTTGACGATTACGGATCAGATTCGGATCGGATGCAGCACGGAAGCCCTCTAACAAGTACATATTTTTTTTATCTATTATATTTCTTTATTCCAAAAAATTGCTAACTTATGTTGTTAAATTACTTAGTTTACTTATCTTGTTTTTGAAATAGATGTATTGTGTTTATTAACAGCTAGTAGAAACATTAGTCTCTACATGTATAATCGTAACGATCTACATGTTGTTTAGGCAGCTATTGTCAAATACTTTTCAAACATTCATGTAATTGATTGTTACTCGTACGTCATCACAAAGAAATCGACGTAGGCGTATCGATGTTATCAATATTCGATGAATCGAAGTAAAACGCGGATGAAGACATAAAGTACCTCTTAAAAAATCGAATTTATTCAACGAGCAGCCATTTTGGAGCATTACGCGGCAAAATTTGACAGCCAACTTCATTATTTGACACTTACATTTGAAATTCGAAAGCGACGTCGAACTGTCATCGGCGTCTGCCGGCCAGTGATGTAATTTAATTGGTTTAAGAGATTTTGTCTTGTCAAAGGTTCTCTTTACATAACATTTACTATATTTTAATTTTAATTTCATTATTTTTTGATACGATATAATACATAATATCAATATTTACTTTACCTATCTACTTTTGTAACTTTTATGTAAAATAATTGTAGAGTCAATTTTTGACTAAAATTTTACATAAAAGAAAATACACATTGACCTCTCGTTGCAAAGTATTATAGGAAAGGCTTAGCTATTTACCGTATTAAGGACACCTCAGAATGCTAAAAATATATAAACATCCCTTTAATTCAATGTACCTAATACTCTACTACACAACATAATCATAAAGATAATGAATCAGTTGCCAGGAGTGAATTGCCTTCATCTGAATGAATACAGCCAATCTGATATAATGACGTGGCTTGTGGCGGGACCTCACGACACTCACAGTACTGAATCACTCCTTGAAATCGTATCATAATGTGGCCTCGTGGAATGACCTGGTTTTGAATGACTTTAGGGATTATTTTGGATTAGTCATCGATTAATGTTTTATGTAGGTATGTGTATTCTGTTGTTTATTTACTTATATTTACGAAGAATGTGTAAATATGTGTACAATTTAATGGTGATTGGCAAATGTACCAATACAAGGAAAAACTATTTTCACATTTACATAGATAGAGTCTCTTTAATAGTTAATATGTTCCGCCTGTCAGTGGGAATATATATAACACATTGCACTTAAACGTTTATAAAAACCATTTTTTTTTTATATAATTTACCTGTGCAACGGAGGAGTTACGAGTGCGTTGCCGACCTTTTAGGGATTAGGGTCTTGAGGATTTAAGGATTTAGGAAGGATTGAGGAAGGGGAAGGATTGGGCCTCCAGTAACCTCACGCACACGGCGAAACACAACGCTGTGGTTCTTTCATGCCCGGTTTTCTGTGACGCCGTGGTATCACTCCAATCGAGCCGAAGCTTGGCTCTTCTACACTTTAAAGAATTTCTTATAGACCACCTTAATAGTGTTGTCTTTACATAAACAAAACACATTCGTAAAATCCAAAGTACCTACATGGAATTCGTGCCTCACTGTTAAAGATCGTTACCACTTGTAAAATAAACATAAGTCTATTGAACTGACTTATACACTGGTAAAATCGACATACATGTATTTTGTACGCTGTTAACACTGACATAAGAAGAATCAATATTAAATATTGATTCTTTCTTCATCGCATGTGACGACACTTTCTCAACATACCTATGGAGTGGCTTAAGTTTGGCAAGTGACGGAGAGCCATGGTTCGGCACGAATGGGTCGGCTCGACCGGAGTGATATCGCGGCCTCACAGAAAATTGGCGTGAAACAACATTTACATTGTGTTTCGCCGTGTGAATGAGGTTTCCGAAGGCGCGATTTTTCTCCCATCCCCCATACTCAATCCTCAAATCCCCTATCCTTAAATCCCTAATTAATAAACCCACAAGAGGCCGGCAACGCACATGTAGTAACTCCTTTGGTGGGTCGAGTGTTCATGTTTTTTTTTTATGTAATAGGTCGGCAAACGAGCAGACGGATTACCTGATGGTAAGCAATCAGCGCTGCCCATGGACACCCGCAACGGAGGAGTTACGAGTGCGTTGCCGACCTTTTAGGGATTAGGGATTTGCAGATTGTGATTGTTTCACGCCGGTTTTCTGTGAAGCCGTGGTATCACTCTGGTCGAACCGACCCATTCCTGCCAAAGCATGGCTCTCCCACACTTAAATTAATCTCTGAATCCCTAATCCCAATATGTGCAACGCTTAAGTAACTCCTGTGGCGTTTCAGGTATCTATGGGCGACGCTAATTGCTTAACATCAGGTGATCCATCTGCTCGTCTCCACTCACACAAAAAAAGATGTTACATATTTCGGTTGCTGCCAAACCAATGGAATGGTTGACTCCACGGTTGGTGCGGTGGCTGGGCAATTGGCTGCCGTGCAACGTGTCGCGGGTTCGATTCCCCTACGGAACAACTCTTTGTGTGTCAAAAAAAAAGTCAAAAATCATTTATTTCAATTAGACCACAGTAGGCACTTTTGAACGTCAAGCAAGCAAAAAAGGAAAAAAGTATATAACATGAGCTTTAAAATTAAGCATGTCAGTCTGTCCGTCTGTCCTCTAGTGAAGCTATTTGCTCGTTCCAAAGTGTAGATTCCTATGGAGAAGAACGAGCAAGAAACTCCATGGTTACTCTTTTTCAATCAGTTTTACAATACATTTCTTTGTTACATCATTTAGTTGGTTCTGATATGTGAGAACAATGTAACACTAATGTTCAGGCAAAAGGTACGAAAAAGAAGTGAACCTCAAGGACAACATATTTAGACAGCCTGGAGATGACCAGTCCCAATAGGCGGCGCCCGTTCACGAACATGACACGTACACCAGCACCGCCCAACTCAACCATATTATAGGGAATTGGGCGATCCAGTGGCCGTGCCACCGCCAATGAGACCTCTAAGTGAGCATGACAGCTCCCAGCCGACACAAGTACCTATATTCTACAAGTCTTACTTAATTATAATAGGTTACAGTGTACTCACATTTACAAAAACTTAGAAGTTCATCAACAATTAACAACATAGTGTACAATTTAATAATTAAAATCAAAAATTCCTCTAAACATCCTGTGGAGTAGGACCAGCTAGCCTCCAAGCATTTTTATCTTGTATATAATCATTTAGTTTGTAGTATGCTAGTTTACATAAATGTTTCTTTATACATAATTTAAATTTGCTTTCATTTAGATTTTGAATTTCAACTGGGATTTTATTATAACATTTAACACAGAAACCCAGAAATGACTTATGCACTTTTGCCAATCTAAATAAAGGCTGACTCAATCTATTCCTATGTCTAGTATGATAATCATGTTTGTCAGATACCTTTACACCAACCCGGAACAACAATTTGTGATCCACAAATTGTTGTTCCGGGTCTGGGTGTCATGTGTATGTGAAATTGTATGTTTGTAACCGCACCCACGATAGGTACAGGAGAAAATCCTATTGTGGGGTAACGTTTTTTTTAAAGAAAAAAAAATGCTAAAAAAAACTTTTCGCCAATAAAAAGAAACACAGAAATACTCACTTCCACGTTTATGCAATCCCATGGTTCCTTGTATTTTATTGTTATACAGCTAAATACATCACTTTCTTCACTTTCAAATCATCACTATTCACTAGACGTTGCTTGACACAATCTCAGTTTCTTAAATAAACAGATCAACTGAAGGACACACAGGTATATGTTACGCAAAATTACGCAGACAGACTACCGAAGCGTATGCGTTCTACAAGTTTTAAACACAGAATTAACTTCAACTGAGCAAAATTACGAGGTCTGAATTTTTGAAAGTTATTTAAGTACTTAAATTCTTAGGTAATATGTAAAAGCGTAGGGTGCCTAGAATTTAATGTTTAGATCTAGTGTCTATTTGGTAATTTTATTAGTGTGCCTGCCTTTTAGAAATGGTCTTTTTGAACCTAATTTTACACTTACTCTTATTCAAATGAAGTGAGTGGCTAGTGTTTGCTAATGGATTTAGAACCTTACCTATGTCATTTAATTAAATTTTAATAATGAATTTATTATTACGTAAATAATTGTATTTCCATTGATGATTTTACGATTAAATTGAGGATTAATAATAGGACGAGTACCTAATATTTTTATACAGTTTTTTTTATATATAATTTTATTACAATCTACTTTACTTTAATAGTAAGTATAAAGCTGTAGAGTTTGTTTATTTGTCTGTTGGGTTTTTCGCGCTTAACTCTAGAATGGCTGGTTCGAATTGATAAAATGTGTTCGAAACATAACGCTACTATCTCTAGGAGCCGAAAAACGCAAAGAATACCTACTTCTTATCATAATGATATTATTATGTATATAAAAAAGGTCGTAGTGGCCCCGAGGTTACGGCGCCCGCTTCTCGAGCATGAGGGAGTGGGTTCGAAACCTGTCAAGTACCAATGTGACTTTTTCCGAGTTATATGTACTTTCTATGATTATTTAGACACCACTGACTGTGAAGGAAAACATCGTGAGGAAACCTAGACTAATGATTTCTAATTATAAGTTTGAAATCGCCAACCCGTATTGAGCAAGCGTGGTGATTAATGCTCAAACTTCTCTGTGTGAGAAGAGGCCTTTGCTCAGCAGTGGTCACTTATAGGCTGATGATAATGATGATAATTATTATATCATTTACATATTATTAGAATAAGTCACGTAAAGATATAATAATAAGTAGGTACCTATTTCTATTGTCTATATTATTAAAATTCGCAGACGTAAACCTAGTACTGTTATTTAACAAGATATTACACATATAATATATAACTGAATGTTATAATTGTTATATAATAACTATTATAAACGTCATATTTATATTGTTTACGAACCTACGCAATGAAATCATGTGAAACTCTTTGTTTGAGCTGCATTCGTTTCCAGAAGTTTCTTTTTTAGCACATTTTTATGACTTGGCGCTAATTTGGTCGGCCGCCATTTTGTTTTAAGTTTAGAGTTAAGTAGGTGGAGAGAGAGTGGTTTTGATTTAAACCTATCTTTTTACAATATGTGCTATTATATTTTTCTTTAACATGAAAACACAATGGTATGAAGTAATTAACATATAATTTAAGCACTCAGCCTTACGGCGTAGGAGTTGCCAGCCCCAGGATTTTATTCCTATCACTTTTTAAGCCTAAAATAACCTCAAAATCGATACATACTTCAAATAAATCGTGAACCAGTGTTGGAATTATGGCCTATTATAAAGTTGGAGTCCTCACCAACTTCCAGAAACTTAAAAATCCATTCGATCAGGACACCGGGGTCCGCTGTGCATTTTGAGTGATGAAAACGCGATGTAGCAATGACGTCACAAAGAACACCGAGGCCTTCTTGGGGTTTGACCGAAAATGTGATTATTTTTAGTTATTGCATCTGCAATCGTCAAAATTGGTGGAAAATCTATGCTTCGGTACAATTGGGCCGGCTTGACCAGTCTCAGGAGATAAATCCCCAAATCGTCAAGGTATCCATGGGCAGCACTGATTGCTTAACATCAGGTGATGCGTCTGTTCATTCCTATCTATAATCATAAAAATGTGACTTGACCGAATTTTAGTCTATTAATAAGCTGACTAGAATGTGAACTAAGTATTAGGGAAAATCTCTATAACAACTTTGCACGACACGGGGAAAATTTGAGACCCCTTACTTAACTGATCACACTTCACTTCCAACCCGAACAACATTTTTTTTTTACATTTACTGGTTTCCCAAAGCGTGTATTATATTGTAATGTTTCTGTAAGCTCGCCTGGGTTCAAACCTGATTACTTAAACAAAGAAATAAGTACATTAGCCTGAGAACTAATGAACAACTGGCTAGCACTAATTACTCAATGAAAGTGGTATTCAACGCATTTTTTTTTTCGTCACACGCTCAACGCTAAATACAGAAAACCGCGGATCAAGCTAACCTCTCCTTGTGAACAATTTTCAACTGTATTTTGAAGGTATAAAGTTGAAATTGTATTAAGGGTTAAAGGTGTATGTTTAAGTGCTGCATGCCAGTACTAAGCTACTTTCACTTTCTTTAGAGCGTGTTTTTTTTTTAATTAAGAAAATGTGTCGTGCGTTAATTACGTCTAAATTAAATTTGGAACATTCTTGAAAATGCGTATAAAGAATTTTTGTTTAACCTACGTAAGTACTAAAATGTACTTTGTTACGTTAGGTCAAAGTGTATTTTTGTGTGGTTAAAACTTTTTGGGTCGTTTGTTAAACGATTTTTAGATTACAATTAACCTAAAAACAACAAGGTTGTAGATTAAAAAAAGTCTATCCGTGGTCTAGGATTAAGCTCTCTTAATCTCTAGGCAAAGTAAAATTATATTATTTATTAAATGCATCATGCTTTATCAGCCTATACGTGCCCACTGCTGAGCAAATGGCCTCATCTCATACGGAGAAGGTAAGAGCATTAATCACCACGCTTGCTCAATGCGGGTTGGCGATTTCAAACTTATAATTAGAAATTATAAGTCCCGGTTTCCTCACGATGTTTACCTTCATCGTATGTCAGTGGTGTCTAAATAATCATAGAAAGTACATACAATAACTCGAAATAAGTCACATTGGTACTTGCCAGGTTTCGAAGCCACACCCTCATGCATGAGAAGCAGGCTCCTTAACCTCCGGGCCACCACGACATAATTAGGCCAAAGACGTAATATTTATTAAATAATATGTAATATTAATTTATCAAACCCTAAGCGCATGCTGGCGTTCGCGAACCTATAGTCTTACTATACTATTGTGACATTGTTTACCAACATAAAGGTTTATCTACACCGACCAAAATAATTATAAGAAGTAAACAAAATTATTTTTAATACATAGGTAACCTTAATATGTAACTGCGTTGTACGTTTAAAAATATTGACCGTAAGGTCAGTGACCCGTGGTTGCAAAACATCGTAGTATAAGTAGGAGTAACATGAAATTAGTATTGAACTTTGTTAAATAAAAGATTTATAATACATAATACCTTTTCTATTTACCAAAAGACTTGGATAAAGGTCCATTTACGTACTGCGGCGAAGAACAGAAGAAGAGAGAACCCGTTCTCTCTTCTCTTGTTCTGGTCTGGGGGTTTTTAGTCAGTAAGAGTCTGACACTACCTCTTGCCCAACTAAGAGCGGGAGAAATTTGATGTTTTATTTTCCACAAAAAGAGAGATGCATCAATACTAATACCTATAACAAACGCGAAAGTTTGTAAAAGTATGGATGTAAATATGAACTTTTAAACTACACGTGTAAAAACTAGGTACTTAATATATTTTGTTGTCAAATGACACAGAGATAGATACCTAACGATGGAATTTCGGGATCATTCTTCTCCATTCGAATCTATATTTTGGAACGAGCACTTGCTTCACTGACAAACCGACTAAAATACTATTATTCCGATTCATCATCATCATCATCAGCCTATAAGTGCCCACTGCTGAGCAAAGGCCTTTTCTCATACGGAGAAGGTTAGAGCATTAATCACCACGCTTGCTCAATGCGGGTTGGCGATTTCAAACTTTAAATGATTTTGAGCTTGACTTTGACACAGGCTACTTTTAACTTTAATAGGTACTGGCTTTTTAACCCGGGAACGCGGACAAAGCCGATGGCAAAAGCTAGTGGTCCAACAAATTAAAACTTAACCAAAACTTCCAATACATATTATTTCCGACGATTTCACAACTGAAAAATTTGACAAATCTAAAAATATAATTTAAATCTTCCTAGGTAAGATTCATTTTCGTATTGCAACCGTATTGAACGTAGTTATAACTATACCTGTATATAATTATAGGTTCAAACGGATATATAACGTTACAACAGTATGTATACATATGTACATACAAACTATGTACTACGAATAGTGTCGGAAAATTCACCGCTCGATTGAAAACGACCTTGAATCGCTTCTGCATGTATAAGAACTAGTACAGTTCATATTTACAAACAAACATTCAAACGATTCTGTTTATAAATGGTTCTGTTTCATATCACATCATCGGCCTATAAGTGCCCACTACTGAGCAAAGGCCTCTTCTCACACGAAGAAGGTTTGAGGATTACTCATCACGCTTGCTAATTAGAATATATTTGTAAGTTAGTATTCTAGTTTTCCTTACGATGTTTTCCATCGCCGTACAGTACAAATATATGTATAAAACTCGGAAAAAGCCATTTTGTTACTGGCCAGGTTTCGAACCAGAATCGTTCCTGCTCCAGACTAGGGCTTTTTTGTCAGAGGAAAATTATTAAATGACTTCTCCCGCCCAGGGTAAGGCGGGAGAGTGTTAGACTCTTAGTAACTTCTCTCGGCGGCCTTGGCCTAAATCAAAGCAGGAGAAGGAAGGGGGAGTTTTTAGTCAGTTAAGAGTCTGACACTCTCGCCTCACCCTGGGCCAGAGAAAAGATTGATAGATTTTTCCCTAACAAAAAAAATGGTGGTCCAAATGTTTTAAGTACCTACCCAAACGTCACCAAACGTCCTGGCTTTGATAGTCACATGTTGTCATCAGGTTATTACAAAAATAATGAGACCACTAATTGCATAAAAGTTTTTCAATCTCAACTCGTCACGTCCACGCATAAGATTGCAATAATAATTTACCACCAATTTGCG